AAATATAGATATATGCATGACATAGATTTAAAATTAATTCAATATATCTGGAGCAATGTTTCCATTGCATGCTGTAGGTTCACCAGATTGGTTATTCACAATCTGAACATATAAATGACTATTAAGGAAAACAAAGGAAGTTAGTTTGGATGTAAATCGGTCAGTGCCAGATAAACATTTCATTATATGACAACGGCTATTTACAGTACAACTATTCATGTATTACTACAGACATATATCTAACACAAGAAGTCAAGGGTCAAGAGCCCAACTAAAGCAAACACTGATCTCCATGATGGTGGCATCATTTTAACCAATAAAACATCAACATCGGATCCTCTGTAATTCTCAATAACAGCAGGTGTTCATCACTAATGCACAATCATCATTTAATTAGTCATTTAATTAACTCATTAACTTTAACTCTTTGAGGACTGGGGTTTGACTTGAGACTTGCTTGAGACTTGAAAGGAATGACTTGGTTCCTCCTCTGGTGAAATCAGCTGCTGAGTTCATGGGTGGAATAAACGTATGGCAGGACTTTTACTTTCTGACCTCTGGATTGTCCACCTCTGGTTATGACAACAAACTGTAGAAAAGCAGTTATTGATTGGCAACTGTGTTGCCAGTAAATTACCATAAAATAAAAGAAAAAAAGTAATATACTGTAAAACATAACAATCAGATTAATTAAATAAAAAAGTTATTTTCACTGAAGGTCAGTAGAAAAAAGTTATGCAAAGTCATGAACTGAACTGTATTAATGTGTTTTTGCACAAGAGAGATCTGTTAGTTTACTTCAGTTTTGTGTGTAACCATTGTGCTGGAGAGTAGAGCCTGTGCTTCAATTAATGATGAGTCACAACTCTGATGTTCTGCTTTATTTAAAGACAATAACTGTGGAGTTACTGATACAGTGATGATATCTTTGTTAAGTAGCTACTTCAGTGCAATAACAAAAAGAAACCATTTGATGTGAAATATATTTACAGGATTTTATTAGCACCTTTTTTGCAAGTACAGTGGCATACAGTGCAGTAGTGTTAATTTGACACCGGGGATTTTGCTGTGTATTAAGCCTAAAATGTGCTATTGATGAGGATTGTATGATCTTTGAATAATATCAGTCTTTAAATACAAAATATTTAAAAAGTACCTAAAGTATACTTGCAATACTTCCACTTTAGCACTATCAAATATACTTGAGTATATCTTTAGTTGGACTTCATCACTACTTCCACACAATTAATGTGCATTACGTACAAAATTAGTTGTTCCAATTGAGCAGACTTTAAGTATACCAGTTTAGTATACCAAAAGTACAGTTGCAGGGTATTATTATTAAGTACATAAATATGTAAAAGTAATTGTAGTATATTTAAAATAAAATAAATTTCAAATACATTTTAGTACATTTATTTTTCACTAGTATATACAAACAGTATGATTTTTCAGGAAAAAACAAAATATAATGGCAGCACCCTAAATGGCTGTTACATGATTATGTGCATCTCTTGTTCCCTGACCCAGATAGCAACATAATGTTGGCTCAGATCCGGCCCATATCTGACACATGTGGAATGATGATCTGGCCCACATGTAGTGTGGAATGATGGCACTTGGGTGGACCGCTCCTGTTTGCCAGATCTGGTTCACAAGCAGGCCACAGCAAAGCCACATGCAAAGCCCTGAAATGTCAGCGGAGACCAGGACATCTAGATGTGCCCCAGAGACTGATCCCAACCTCATCTCCTACACGGCTATTGGGACAAGATCACGGGAACCAGATGAGTCCTCTGCACAATCTGACTCTGCTGCAGCCTAGATTTAAACTGCTGGTTTTGTCTGGCCAGAGGTGAAAGACACACTATTTCAACACAATATTTCCCCGTTTAATACTGTAAAGCTGCTTTGGCACAACTTGCATTGTGAAAAGGGCTATACAAATCTACAGAGGTCTACAGAAGTTTTTTTTTTAATTGAGAATTAAAAGGGGATTATATCTAATGGTTGTTTCATTTGAAGTCACCATAATGGTGCATTAGTTGAGCTCTTAACTTATTATTAATCATTTGTCTTCTTTGGCCTTCTTTGATAATTTGCTGTTGGTGGTTTCACAGTTATCATGTAGTGGCTTGATTCACTGAAGTCATTTGAAACTAGTAATTGTGTAATTTAATGCTTTCACATTACAAATCCTGTGTTACTGCAACTTGCGTTTTAATAAATGAGCACAAAAAGGTTAACACTGACACACATATCAGCAATCAGCATATGAATCAACATGGGTGACAAAATATTCAGATAATTGGATCAATTCTGTACATCACAAAAATCTACTAAATGACACAACATAAAACAGCAAAAAATACAAAATAAATACATGAACCAAAGAATTAAATAAAATAATAGGACAATTCAGCTGCATAATTTATTCATGCTGTGACATGCTAAGAGTTTTGCACTATGGCACCCAGCATACATTGCGACATTACACTTTTTATTGTCACCATTGATGAGGTTCATTTGGTGATTTATGAGGACTTTGTGTGTTATAAGCGTTCTAATTTTTGTGCTCTTTTAAAAAAAAAAAACAAACAAACAACTTTTAACTGGTTCTGCAATATTGTTGATCTTACACTGCAGATTTATACAGCAAGTGTATTATTGGTACTACAATTGCTAGCATCAAGTGACATTAGTGAATCAGGCTATTTCATTATGATGAACCATCAACAGCTATCATCATCACCTGATCTAATTTTGTCTTTATTTGCTATTGCAAATGTGTTGGATAAACACGCCATCATAGCAGCCAGCGAAAACAAACTAATTGTAATAAGCGCTAAGAGCCCAATTAAATCACTAATAAAAACTAATCACCATTATGGTGACTACAACTGAACCAAACATTAGATTTAAACCCCTGTTAATTCCCAATAAGAACTTCTGTAGATGTCTGACAGAAAGTAATTCTGGTTAGTAATAAGTGAAGCTGGTAATGCTGTTGTTGAATCCTCCTCTGCTGAGATCTATAGAGATTTTATGTTTTTTATCTTCAGCTGATTTCATCTTAGGCTGTGGCTTAGGTCAGTCGTACACAGCAAAATCCCCGGTGTTAAATTAACACTGCTGGGTGTCTATATGGGTCCACACTACAGCGGTGTTGAAATGAATTATTAGAGTGTTGCTGTAATAGTTACAGTGAATGAATTTTAAACCTATATAATGCATATTCAAATTTGAACTCCCATGAAATTAAGACAAACACAGACATCAAGAACCAGCATTTGAATTTCAACAATGGTGACAATCAACAAAATGCTTTATGCTGCAATGCATGCTGGGTAGCACCATAGTAAAAACTCATATCATGCACTGCAGTATGAAAAATTATTGTCACCACTGTTGAGGATCGTATAATAAGTGTTCATGTAAAAGCCTGAGCTAATGCAGTTCTTTTTTTTTAATACTGAAGCATTACGGTGGCGTTTGTTTAATAGAACTAATTTTTTTTGCAATTCTGTAATGGCTGTCAACAAACCAAAGACAGAGACCACTTCCTGATGTTTATTAAAATTAGTTATAAGCAGAAAGTGTAAGATAATCTGCTATTTCAAGATTTGCAGCAGTGTGCAAATGTTTGCTGTGAAAAAATATTGCAATAGCTTAAAAGCAAATTACTTAAAATTAATAAAAAGGGTCACGGGACAAACTAAAGAAAACCTCGACCACAATTATGTTGGCATTGTGTGTGTTTTTTTTCAGTTGATTCCATCCAAGGCTGTGGCTAAAGTCAGTTGTAGTTCTTGTGTTTCTCTTTTCTTCAATGATGCTGCTTGTTAACGGCAGGTGTGCATCACTAATGCACAATCATCATTTAATTAGTCACTTAATTATCTCATTAACTTTAACTCTTTGAGGACTTGGGATTTGACTTGAGACTTGCTTGTGACTTGTGAAAGGAATCAAGTATGTATCGCTGCAGCCCGGAGACCTCCAAGTGGGAGGGACTTACGCCACAAGTAGGTTGGGAGACCTCCAAGTGGGAGGGACTTACACCGCAAGTAGGTTGGGAGACCTCCAAGTGCGAGGGACTTACGCCGCAAGTAGGTTGGGAGACCTCGAAGTGGGAGGGACTTAACACCGCGAGCATGCGCACATCAATATAGCGTAATTTTCTCACACTGTACAACAATAATTACTATTTTTGCATTATTGTAAGGGGTAGGTTTAGGGTTGGGTTAGGTGTAGACGTTAATAAAGCACAAGCTGTAACTCTGTGTCATGTACAAGACAATAAATCAATCAATCAAAAGGCCCAGGAGGTTTGCACAGCCTACTTGGAGCTCAAATCCCACCCATTTGGAGCTGGCTCCGACCTCCGTTTATACCTAACTCAAAGGAATGACTTGGTCCAACCTCTGGTGAAGTCAGCTGGCTGAGTTCATGAGTGGAATAAACACATGGCAGGACTTTTACTTTCTGACCCCTGGTCTTTACACCTCTGCATGTGGGCCAGATGTGTGCTGGATCTAGGCCGACACTATGTTGCTATCTGGGCAGTGGCACTGACTAAAATCTTTTACCTCTTCCACAGTTTTACTAAAAAATATTTTATCTAATAGTTTAATTTAATGGAACGTAACTATTATACTTATGAATTATTAGATTCAATTTGAATTAATTTAATTTAATATATTTCAACAAACCTGAATGTAACTTTTTAGAGAACGATGATGATCCTAATCTAATATTTGTAATATCAGAGTATTTACAACCCTATTCTTGGAAGCACCTCAAAGTTGCACAGTTTAGATGAATCTCTCTTATGAAACAGGCTTGATTCAACACATCTTGTCACTAGTAGAGCACTCTATGACGTTATCTGAGTGTGTCAAATAAAAAAAGGCCTCAGAATATACAAAAACTGTGTAGAGAAACACAGGCCTACTGTACACAATAAGGTCAATAAAACAAAGACACTGTAAAATACTCACTCAGCCTTTCTAGATGATTTGATTACTGGCAGCAGCCTCAGGAGACATTCTTCTGATGAATCATATTTATTCAGTTTAAACTCATCCAGCTCTTCTTCTGAGTTCAACAGCATAAACACCAGAGCGGACCACTGAGCAGGAGATAGTCTGACTCCAGAGAGGCAACGGGCACCTGTTCTGCTCAGGTATGTTTGGACTTCCTGCTCCAGTGAGCGATCATTCAGTTCATTCAGACAGTGGAACAGATTGATGGATTTATCTGGAGAGGGATTCTCCCTGATCTTCTGTTTGATGTATTCAGCTGTTTCCGGATTGTTGTCTGAGCTGCTTATTGTCTTTCTCAGGAGGCCTTGTAAGATAGTCTGATTAGACTCTAGTGAGAGACCAAGAAGGAACCGGAGGAAAAGGTCCCAGTGTCCGTTCTCCCTCTGTAAGGCCTTGTCCACCTCTCCCTTCAGTAAACTGGTCATTGGTGACCCAAACATATTCAACAGTCCTGTGTTATGTTCAGAAAAAGACAGCAGCTTAAATAAAGCAGCAAGAAACTCCTGAATACTCAGATGAACAAAGCTGTACACCTTCCCCAGCTGCAATCCAGACTCCTCTCTGAAGATCTGGGTACAAACTCCTGAGTACACTGACACTTCTCTAACGTCAATGCCACACTCTTTCAGGTCCTCTTCATAGAAGATCAGGTTCCCCTTTTCCAGCTGTTCAAAAGCCAGTTTTCCTAGAGAAAGAATAGTCTTTCTAACCTGATCAGGATCTATTTCATATTTCCCATCATACTTCTGTGTCTTCAGTTTGGTCTGAAAGATCAGGAAGTGTGTGAACATTTGTGTGAGAGTCTTGGGAATCTCTGCACTCTCTGCTTTACCCATCATCCTCTCCAGAACAGTGGCTGAAATCCAGCAGAAGACTGGGTTGTGACACATGATGAACAGACTTCTTGATGATCGGATGTGTGTGACAATTCTATCAGCCAGACTTGGATCATTTATTCTCTTCCTGAAATATTCCTCCTTCTGAGGGTCGTTGAATCCTCGTACCTCTGTGACCTGGTGGACACACTCAGGAGGGATCTGATTGGCTGCTGCTGGTCGAGAGGTGATCCAGAGGAGAGCAGAAGGATGTAGATTCCCCTTGATGAGGTTGGTCAGCAGCACATCCACTGAGGCTGATTCTGTTACATCAGACAAGCTTGGATTGTTTTGGAAATCTAGAGGGAGCCGACACTCATCCAGACCATCAAATATGAACATGACTTTGTAGTCATCATAATCTGTTGATTTAATTTCTTTGGTTTCTGTGTGAAGGTGGTTTAGAAGATCCAAAAGACTGAGATTTTTCTGTATCAAATTCAGCTCCCTGAAAGGAAGTGGAAATATAAAATGAACATCCTGATTTGCTTTTCCTTCAGTCCAGTCCAGAATGAACTTCTGCACAGAGACTGTTTTTCCAATTCCAGCGACTCCTTTAGTCAGCACAGTTTTGATGGGTTTGTCTTGTCCAGGTGAGGGTTTAAATATGCCATTGTAGTTGATTGGTGTTTCCTGTGTCTCTGGTCTCCTGGACACTGTCTCAATCTGTCTCACCTCATGTTCATTATTGACCTCACCACTGCCTCCCTCTGTGATGTAGAGCTCTGTGTAGATCTCATTCAGACGTGTTGAGTCTCCATGATTGGACATTCCTTCATTGATTCTCTGATATTTATCCTGTAGTCTGGATTTGAGTTTTTGTTGATACACAGGCATCAGTTCTGAGTAAAGGAAATAAATGTTATTTACTAATAACAAATTAGTTGAACAATAGTGAATAAAAAAATAGTTAACACATATGTTTATTTAATTAATTATTTTTCAGATTATATGCATATGCATGCAATGTTTTAGTTTTTTTAATGTTTGACATGTTTCATATTATGCATTTTTTAAGGTTCTTGTCAGGGTATAATCTGCTGATCCAGAGCTCTTACTGGTCTGTAGTGTGTTAGCAAGGTCTGTCTGGTTCATCTTCCTCAGGATGTGCAGTGTGATCTTCAGAAGCCCTTCTCTGACTCTGCTATGACCCTCATCATCATAACGGTCTCTTTCAGAGCATTCTGTGTAATCTGGACTCAACAGTCTTCTAAAACATTCCAGCTCAGTCTTCATTACAGAGATGATTTTCTGCTCAAGCTCCTGAAATAATGAATATTCAAACAATGAACATACATTCAGTTACTTGAAGGGTGAACCAAAGGATCAATACACAAGAGTCAAGACTGAATTTATCAGAAGTGTAAAGTCCAGGGGTCAGAAAGTAAAAGTCCTTCCATATATGTGTCATGCGATCTGGGAAAACCTGTCAGATGTCGTGCTGGGACGTTTTCAGGAAATTCGAAAAATAGGTTGAATGTCATTTTTTGTCAAAATTAGGGTTTCATTAAATTATTACTCTATACCATATTGTCTATCATCTCTGAAAATATCTTGGCAAAATTAAATTGTTTAGTGCAGAAAAATAGCAATTTATTGCAGCAAGCAGAAAAGACTGTGTCTTTCTCTCATGTTAAAGGGGCAGTTCACCCAACAATGAAAATTTGATGTTTATCTGCTTACCCCCATTGCATCCAAGATGTAGGTGACTTTGTTTCTTCAGTAGAACACAAACAAAGATTTTTAACTCAAACCGTTGCAGTCTGTCAGTCATATAATGGAAGTGAATAGGAATCACGGCTTTGAGAGTCAAAAAAACATAAACAAAACCAAATTAAACCCTGTGGCTCGTGACGATACACTGATGTGTAACGACACGAAACAATCGGTCTGTTCAAGAAACTGAACAGTATTTATATAGTTTTTTACCTCTGATTCACCGCAACATCCGAACTGTCCTGAGTGGGTTCTCAACAGCCGGCGTGTGTCTTCTTCTTCTTATTGCTTTATGGCAGATCGCAGACTTTAAAAACTCTATGGAGTGTCAATGGTCCATTTGAGAGATAGGTGGCGGTAATGCACTTATAAGTCTGCGATCCACCGTAAAGCAAGAAGACGCTCAGGACAGTTCGGACATTGCGGTGAATCAGAGGTAAAAAAAACGATATAAATACTGTTCAAATTTTCATTTTTGGGTGAAGAAGAAAAATCCCTTTAAGAACATGCTGCGGAGGTGCTTTCTCTTAACACCACAAAAACAGTTAACCTATCAAAATAAACCACGTAACATATATAATAAAGGTGTATCAATGCACATTTCCCACCAGTCCTGTGTAGGGATTTCTAACTATGAACGGACACTGATATCAGCCATCACGAGATTTGCTAAATCACCCAGCACATGAGTCCCATATTCTGGGTCTATGTCCTGTCAGTATGGTGAAATCATCTACTCATGAGATCGAAACTAATTCGATCAGGAGACAACAAAGCTATCTTTGGTATCAGGACTAAAAAGCCCTTTCACGACATATGGATACCTCATGATCGCGAATGTATAGAACTAGTATATCCAGCAGGAAAAGGATGAGTAAATTAACTGATGCCCTTAGGCCCTGAATAGTTAATTATAACTAGTTATGGTTAATTATTCTGTAGGGATTTCATATACAGGACACGGAGAGGCCACTGGATCACCATCATGAGGTTTTGAATTAATCTAATCAAGAGATACCACAGAGACCTTTTGTACCAGAGCTGAAAAGCCTTTCACGACATATGGATGCCTCGTTCTCATGGATGTATGGACCCGTTATCTCTAGAACAGGAAAATGACTAAATGACGCCCTCAGGCCAGCACAGGATGTACAGCGTGACGCCACATGACTATCCCATGACTTTCGACCACCAGCTTCCCGCATGACCAAAACTCTTACTTCCTTTGAATTAGAAAGAAACAGAATGTACACAGACAATTCAGAAGACAATCATTAAAAATCACTGAAAGCATTGGAGCAACGATATTCACAAATAATATGTTTTATGTCGTAAATATGTGTGATGTGTTATTGAAACCACGATATCTTAATCGTTGCTTTCTAACTTTTCTTTTTAGTTAATTACGATTGTTGTGTATGCAAAATACCTGTTGTTTGGGTTTGGATGAGAGCCGGTTGTATTCACAGAACATTGGTGTGAATGAATAATTGATATTCAGCATTATTTTCCTTTGGTGATGATAGTTTTATAAGAAGTTCTTTAAAACTTGCAGAAATACTCTCCCAAACAACAAACCACACAGGGCGTGGCCAGACCCCGCAGCCACCATCTGATTGGAACAGCGACCAGTGGGATGGACTTACGCCGCAAATCAAAACCCCACTGCAACACAGATTCGTTGCTTGCTTGCTTGTTTTACCCGATCAAGACGTTTTGGCTTGCACCTTGGTGAGCGCGAACAAGCGCCATGCCATACCACCGCAGTAGCAAGACCATCTAAGAACTTCGCGATCTTCAGAGAACTTGAAATTCTTTCAAACTCAGACTTTTAGCAGGACTGCTCCAGCCTCTGTGTCATCAAAGAACCAACTACTCCCAGAGGGGTTCCCCAAAAGGACGTCACCCATACGTCATTCCGACGTCAACCAATCAGCGAATCAGCGAAGGAATTCCCCTCAACAGACATCCAAGAAGTCCGATACAGCGACTGAATCACCTCTGCTTTAAGCCAAAGAGGTTCCCCAAAAGGACGTCACCCATACGTCATTCCGACGTCAAAGCAACAGCCAATCAGCGAAGGAATTCCCCTCAACAGACATCCAGGAAGTCCGATACAGCGACTGAATCACCTCTGCTTTCAGCTGTCAAGCCAAAGAACGCAAGTAACGAACAAAATCTTCCACTCAGCTGACCTGGTGTAGAATTAAGTTAAGCAGTAAAATTAAGACCGATTCTCTGCTTGGTGTTCTCCTAGGCTGAATTTAAAACCACTCGTATAAACGAGTTAGGACTTTGAAAACTTAATTCAACTCCGTCAACTAATTTCCTTGAACTTTTGTATGTATGTGTGTGTATGTTTTAGTTAGGTTTTATGTAATCTAGATTAGCCAATAAAATTCATGTTTCATTTATAAAAAAAAGAATGTCTTGGTTCATATAATTTCAAGGTTAAACTATGCCAAAACGATCCTTGCTTGCTACTTATCTCGTAGCATACTTATAATAATTGCCTCTATTAAGAACGTACAACTAATCTTGATTGTGTGGACATTAATTCCCTATAATTACAAATTAATAATGAATAAATGATATGTCATTACAGTGTGGTGGAGAATGCGGGCAAAGATTTGACTGAAAAATTAATGACCCAAGATAAATATTATGAATTTTGTCTATTTTTTATCCGGAAATATAGATAAAAGACAAAAGAAACTGAATTTGTTGTGTTATTTGGTTATGTTATTTTTAGCACGGAAGAGCGTGTTGTTTGAATTTGAATCTCGAGAATTGAACTGCAGAAAAACGTTTTCTTTAAGTCGCTTTAAGAGCGCACGAACAGAGAAGCAAGCGTGTCCCTTGTTCTTCACCTTTTAATTCACTAAAAAAAAAAATAAAAAATAAAAATTGGTGACCTTGAAAACGTGGTACTCACAGAGTGTCCGAGACATTATTTTTGTTTTGTGAAGGGAGAATTATGAAAACTGGATAAAATGAAATCATGGTTAAATCCATGTGTGTTTTGTCTGAAATATACAGGTTGTGATGTCCGCTGAGGTATCAACAACAGTTATTGTATTAACATGGTTGGTTTATCCGTAGGGATTTTAAATTAAGTTCATTTCATAATTAATTACAGATTTGGAATTTACATTTCATTTCATAATTAATTACAGATTTGGAATTTACATTTCATCTCATAAATTAATTTCAGTTCCTGCTTCCACGTGGCAACAGTGTTTACTGATGAAATCTTTTATTATAATTAAAAGACAACAACATTAAACGTTTAATCTTTAAGGATAACAAGTTACTAATGCATTAGATTTTATAATTAATTACATATTTGGAATTTTTATTTCATTTAATAATTAATTACGGGTCCTGTTTTTATATTGCCACGATATTTGCTGATCAGTCAGCTATAATTGTGTTGCTAATTTTAATAACAAACATCATAAGATTTTTTTAATCCTTAACCGGCAATAAGGCAATACAATTTTAATTTCATGGTTAGCATTAGGATTCGAGTCATACTGCTTCAAGATATAAATTGATTAATAGTAATTTTTAATTACTCTCATCAATTTTAATGATAACATCATTCAATTCTGACCAGGAGATACCATTTCTAACCCGAAATTCTAATTTAATTTGCAATTGGCCTATGTCAGTTATTTAATTCATTTAATACATTGGGAGAGCAAAACTTTTTCTCTCTCTTCTTCTGCTTCTCTCTCTCAGCTGTTTCCTTCTGAGTTGACTACTGTGGTCGTTTTGCTGGGATGTTGCCTGGGGAAATCACCAAGCAGAGAATTGTTAGAAATTGAACAGGTATGTGTGAAACTTGAGAACCGTGTTCAAAATTGTCTTCCATTTACCTTCACTCTTCTGCAAAACCCTTCTCAGCGAAAGAAGACTGACAGGCACCCGCCAAAATTTGAACAAGCATCCAGGAACGAAAAATTGGTGAATGGTGTCAATCATAACAGCTAAAAAA